CCCCAAAAAATTTTAAATTTTGTATTAAAATAGAGAAAATTTCATTTTAATCTGTCACAATAAATTGTTCTTAGTACAGCGTGAGTGTACAATTGTGCGATGTAACACAATAAATGTTCCGAGATTGCTTGGAAAATCATTCAAACTATGTCGTCCGCTCCAGGTGTTGTTAAGGATATGCATAATCCAGCAATTGAAAACTTGATTCAATCCTCCTTGGAAAGTCAACCTGTCGTATGGATTCCCTGTTCCGAAATCACTGATATTAAGTCAACTCCAATAGACGCTGTCCACTATGCTATCCGTAAAAAAACGTTTAATGAAACGCTGATAACGCTGATATCGCTTGGAAACAGCGAAGAATGTACACCAACACTTGTGAGTGAGTTTGCCAGAATATTCTCACTTCCAACACACAAGCAGAGTAACAATAGCGACAATTTCAAAAGATATTCCACATGGCTTAATCGTCGCAACGATCTCATAAAAGGGTTTACCAAGTATGACGGTAGCTATTACATGGTTGCGGATAAACGCTTTTATCATTGTCATTATCGATATGGATTCTGCTCCACATGTGGGATACTTCGATGTAGTCCTGTGTGGTGCATTTGTGGACATAAACAATTATCCAATGGATGGACTAGCAACAACAAGCAACTCGATGAGTTTATTAAGAAATCTCAACTACAAACAAACTCACCAAATGAGCACTATTTGGAATGGATTCCATTTGATTGTATTTATGATAGGCGGATATATGGTGCATACTTACGTGGACTACCTACTCGTGAACAAGTTAAATTGATTTCACTCGAGATAACGGATGAGACACATGATTTATATTATGCCGAGGTAAACCATTTACTTATGCGTCATGTTTATTGAATAGTTTAAATAATTGTTGACTTATTATTATGTGTTATTTCCACTAGTTATGTGATAAGCATCCAGATATTCTTACCACGAATGCTTGGATTACCATCGGATTCACATATGATGCAAGTAGACAAAAGTATTGTCTAATAAAACAGCGTGATGAGATTGGATTATGTCTGGCGTGTACGAAGCAATTCGAACCTGAGATAAATGCATTCTGTTATTGGTGTAAAGCACCTAGACTTATCGATTGGACTACGGGCAACAAGTCTTTGGATTTACTCATAATAAAGTCGTGGAGTAATATGAAGAATAAGTATGATGCCTATATACAATGGATCAAATACTCTCTATTATTAAATATACAAGATATGACATCATTACGCCACGGATGCACACATATAGCAGATTGGCTAGAACCGACAACAATTGAATCAACGAGAGTGATATTCAACCCGATAGTTGATGCGCAATCGTTTGATTTTTATCAGGTAAATCATTTCACGTGTAAACAATGCAAATAGTGTTGTTAGCTTGTTAGCTTTGCGTATTTATGATGCGTTTAATCGACGATTGATGTAATGATTGTTTTGTTTATTAAATAGCTAACTACAGATTACCCGGAGATACTAACACCTAATAATATTTGGATTATTGGTATCACTCAAGAACCGTCGACGCGAAAATATTATTTGGTGTTCTACCACGACGTACACGCAATATTGGACAAATTAATCCATATGTGAAGTATATGCAGTATAGCGACTTTGACGAAACTAAGGAGATTGGATCTGGTGGTTATGGAACAGTTTATACTGCCAAATATAGAAAGTATTCAGAAGAGGATATGCCACAAACTGTTGTTCTTAAACGTTTTAAGAATTTTGATGAAACACCGGAATTATTTATTTCCGAGGTAAGCAATAATTGGTAGATTAATTAATATTAAAGTGATTATGATATTTAATTTGACATTGTATTTATTTTATTTAATAGTTCAGAAATCATGCCAAGTGTGTAAACAGTGGTTATCGATTCCTCCTCCTTTATGGAGTCACACAAGATCCAGAAACAAAAGAGTACATGATCGTTATGCAATATGCTAACAATGGTAGTCTTTTGTCTTATTTAGATCAAAATATTAACAAAATGACGTGGAAAATGAAATTAGAGTATTTGAAGGATATTGCAAATTATCTGAGTTATATTCATATTGCAGGAATTGTGCATTGTGATCTTCATGGCGGAAACATAGTTTTGTATCATGATGATGATGCTAATGATGAAACAGAGTTCCGATCAAGTCACCCACTGATATGCGATCTTGGTCTCTCACGATCAGCGAATTCACGCGAGTCAAATTCAACCATTCAAGGTGTTTTACCCTTTATTGCACCGGAAGTCTTCCATACCTACAAATTTACTACAAAAACAGACATATATTCTTTTGGCATTATTATGTATTTGATGGCCACTGGTGAACCACCTTTTAGAGATAGGCAGTTCGATAGAGATTTAGTATACAGCATTATGGGCGGACTACGACCATCGATGCCTGATTCCGCACCAGAGGAATACAAGAAACTTGCCGAGCGGTACTGTGATGCTGATCCAGCCAAGCGTCCGGATGCAAACACACTTTTTAATGATATTTGGAAGCTTATTATAGAGGCGAACAAGGACAATTCTGATGACAACACATGGAATGCCGTTTACCATAATGATGTAAAACCGTTATCACGTCTCGAGAAGGAGAGTAAATATTCTAGTAAGCTCTTACCTACTCTAGATTTGCCTAAACCGAGAAATAGCTACGATTTGGATTCAGCTGCAGGTATGAAAGACAGCATCTGGTCAATTTACAATATTGACATGTTCCATTGTTCTATAATTTAGTGACCCAAACTCTCGAATAAACTTGTAATTTACAGTTTAACAAGTTTTCGATCGGGTTCAGTCCATAACTTAGAGGACATTCTTTTAAGGAATAACTTGGCTAATTTAAACCGCCAATTTCTTTCCAATAGCATTTGCTTAATTACAGGAATACGATCTTGCAGAATAATAACATAAAATTGAGTATTTATTATGTTTTCGAATTGGAAACGTCGTGTTTTCCTCGACATGGCCGAATAGGTTCTCGCAATTTTTTGTGTATTAGTATGTATTGCTATAATGTGCACTAAATTCAGTATTATTTCACAGTAATTACATTGCTCGTTATGCCAATATAATTGCAAATGTAAGGGAGTGGTCGGTGACTTTTGAGACGGGGACAAAACTTTACGTATAATGCCCAACCAAATTCAAGCTGTGATTGCTGCTTTAAGTAAATAAAAATGTGCAATATTTTCTATATGTGCCAAAGCAAATTTTTTACGGAATTAAATAAATTACGACTGTGTCCCCCGTAGCTTGTAGACCTATCGTAAAACTGGGTACGAATGTTCAAATTGTAAACTATTTCACATTACAGTGTACGTATTTTAACAAATACCGTTCACGTTCCCGCGTTTTGTTGTCTTGTAACTTGTCTTTTATTTGAGCAGTTAATCGTCTGTTTATTTTCGGATTAGTAAATCTGTATCAGTTTAATATTAACTACGACGCTATTATTAAAATTCTCATAACAAAAAATGTCATGCCATGGGTCTATGAATTAATGTTCATTTATATAAAAATATTCTTGACGCATGGGGTAAATATTAAAGAGTTTCTTGTGTTAGCACATTTCTTTAATTGAATTAGGTTGATAAGACCTATTGGCAGGCTCCTCATATTCAAAAATTCAACAGTGCTACAATTGGTTTGATTATTGATTTATGATGTTATGAATTCTCTCCACAACAGTCACTTGATGCGCGAATAAATAGGGTAATCAAAGGACACGAGAGACATAAGGCTCCAGGCACAAATACCGAGACTTGCGCACGCACAGAAGCAAGCAGATAAATAATGACTGAAAATCTATTTATTATAGTTGCCTCAAACGTAGGAACACAAATATGTGCATATATTATTAAAACGGAGAATAACACGTATATAATAGACTAAAGGTAAGACCTGACATATGCATTTAATGGTAGTTCTATTACTATAACTGGGTTCTCAAGGTTCAAAATAAGATCCAGTTTTTTCGAGTGTCGTGTATAATTGCACTCTCAAATATACGACATGACAACTTTGTGACAATTCAAAATTTCCCATCGCGTATTGGTTTAATTCTAAAAATTCCAATAATTAAGTACACTTATACTTACTCTTCAAGTACTTCTTACTTTGTTTAACTACTTTATTCTATGCAAAATCATGTCATCCCACTAATGACTGGGTCCTTAACAAGAACACAATTAATTTTATTCTACAGCTGCTACAAATGTGACGGTAAGGCTTTAAGATTTTCATTTTGACAAGGATAGATAGGACGTAGCTATGATAAGCTGAAAAGATACTTTTCTGCTGCAATGGTAAATATTAAGCCTAGTTTAGACAGGCAGCTTTTTTTAATAATCAATTCACGCATAGAATTTGATCATATGATATCCAACCCAAATTATGAACATCGAAGTCTTATGCGAATAACTGATCAATTATAATTATTGATCACCAGAATAAATACGACGAACGGAGGACGCCTTACACTAAGAAACCATCCCTTTGCTGAATTTATAGTAACTTTCTGGTTGCAATAAAAGCCAGAAAGAGAAATTATTAATTTATTCCGATTCCATTTCTATCAATAAAAGAATCCCCGCTTAATGAGTGAACGACGTTTTAAGGCCTTATTACTGTAACAAAATTAGAATGCCATAAACACGTGAGTTGAAAAACCCTAACAACAAGCACCAAGACTCTACTAGAGCGTTTCTCAGAGTTAATGTGCTAAATATCAGGTACATTCGATCCATGGAAGATCAAATGTCTGATTTAATGAGACAATTCGTATTCGCCGAATATAAATCAACTCTGGCAAACATTTAAACACAAAAAATGGCCAATGCTTGAAAATGAAAATCAAGCATGCTTACACACAATAGACATAAGCGATGTAAACACCCTCGTAAATACCACGCTCAACGTCAACTCCATTTTATTATTGATTTTAATATAGAATATCAACGTTAATCCTCGTCAGCTGTCGCTGCTAAATGATCAAGGTGAGACTGGAGCGGCCCATGTTGAGTGAGATATTTTACATAAGCACCATCAGGTTTCAAGAGGCCAGCATGACGTTTTTCGACATACTCTTCGCGAGAAAGTTTGGTGAATCCCCACTTCTTAGACACTATGATTCTCTGGCGTCCAGGGAACTTGTACTATAATTACAAAAAGAAAGAGTACTCAGATGTTAATATAATAGCCACGTTGCACAGTCAATTGAGAGAATCGATCAACTTTCAAAACTCGAATCCAAAATATTAACCTTAGCTCTTCGGAGAGCTTCAATGACTACTGCCCGATTTGATTCCTTACTCCTCACTGAGAAAATGATCTGTCCAATATTAACTCTTGCAACAGTCCCAGTGGGTTTTCCAAATGCACCACGCATTCCCGTCTGGAGTCTATCGGCTCCGGCGCACGACAACATTTTATTGATTCTAATCACGTGAAATGGATGTACCCTCACTCTCAGATGGAACGAGTCCTTGCCAGACATTTTTGTGATGTACTTGTTAGCACAAATACGTCCCGCCTCAAGCGCTTCAGAGGATAACTGTTCATATTCCTCAGAAATCAAATGTATACACAGTGGGAAGTCATCTACGTTAGCTTTCTTGCGTCCTAGATCAAAAATCCTTATCTTTGGGTCTTGTAGAAGAAAGTTTTATAATTACAAATCAGAATTGATGCTTTGGTCCTCAGAAAGACAGAAGAAGCAAAGAACAAGTATATGCTCGCTCACCTGGGACACCACGACAGTATCTGCTCTTTGGGTATGGTTTATTCTTACAGTATCTGTAGCAACGAGCTGGACGGCGTCCCATATTGTCTAGATATTAAATTAAATATTTTTGTATATTGGATCGATGAAGTATATATATATATGTGACTAATAGTATGATTAACTACAACGTACCCGAAAAAAAGGAGACTTTGAAAAAAATTTTTCATTTCAATAAAACGGAAATGTTCCCTATTTATATTTGTGTCACTGCTGCGGCAAGATGACAAATGAATTGTATGACGTATAAGTAATTAGTAATAATTTTTTATCCGAATCGGCATAAAAACTTCCAGAATGCCGGAGATGTTCCTTCTCGCCCAAAGTAAAGAGGTTCCCGATTTCTTTTAGAAGACTGCGCCATTCCTATTATCATTTACAGTTAAAAAATTCTATATAAATACTTTTGAAATCCGTAAACAACCGGTATCGTCAACCCATAATTTCTAAATAAGGATAACGGGTTATTTTTAATATAAATGCTAAGTGGTATAAGAAATGTAGTATATAGACTGCTGGAAATTGTGATGGTGGGTGAGACCGTTAATTCTATACCCAAGCCCCAGGCTCTTTAAATTGATTATGTTGGGTCAATGTATGGGAGATAAAAACAAGTAGCTCTTTTTTTATTACGCACATATCATTTAGTCAATTCCTGAAATATTTGAAGATCAACACACTTTACATACCTATATAAAGGAGATTCCCGTAACAGGATTTTGTGTATCTACATAGCAACAACAATTTGTGCGAAGAATTGCCAGGGATTGTATTATTCAATGGTTGTAAGCCACGAAAGTTCGGTGCGGGAGCTAAAAACTAGTAATTCAGATCATCGGGAGCGTTTTACAAGGCGACAGGCCGGTCATATTAATACTGTTGTCGTGTCGTGACGCGTATAATATAGTTTTTCTTCGGTAATAATCAATTTTAACCCCAAGTTTTACATGTAATGTTAATACATTGCTTTCTAAAATTCTCAGTTGGACACATCCGACCTCGATGTTCAAGCGAAGATGCATTTTCTGGACCGATTTCTAGAGCTTTGTTAAGATCAGACAATGCCTGTTCATAATTTTTGAGATCACTGATAATGTCTACAGATTTTTTTTGTCCATTAACTAAAGTGGTATAACCTACGTAGACATCCCTTTATACATTCAATGGCGTCAGTTATATAATTATGGTAGTTGTCTTCAGAAATAATATAAAAGAAGACCGCACTTGCCCATTAAATACCGGAAGATAGCTCCCACATACCTTTAATCAAACAATAAGCAATAGTCATTCTTGACATAGTTTGCCAATCATACAATATACTTTGATCAAACAAGACAGCATTCACTACCCGCAATCAATAACAGTATATCACGCAAATACAAAATCGAGACGTCGCTCGAACGACGACAAAATCGGATCCCGGAGCACTAGCACGATGTGATCCAATTTTTGGTACTGTAGTCTAACTTCGGCACAAGCCTAGTGTCCCTTCGAATAATTACAATCGATCGTCGCAGACTGAGATGGATTCTGGATGACATGAATTCAAAAAACTCATCGTTGCCCGTTTGACGACAGATTCATAAACACTACAGGGTAGTTATTATGATCTAATTAAGATTACTGAAATCAATGCAAATTATTCTATATTGATCTAATTATAGGCAATATCGAACAAATGCCTACAATACTAACCCCAAGATTTATATTCTTTTACATCAAACCTACTTCCATTTTATTTCTCTGTTTTCTCTTTAAAAAATTTCTTTCCCGCAATACGAGGAGCTGGCTTATGCTCTGTTAACACCTTTGGATCCAAATCTTCGTGCACAACGACCCTATCCTTTGTTCCCCACCCTTTTCTCATTTGTTCCAGCTGCAACTCATCATCGATCATCCAATAAAGAATATATTTTCTGTTAGTTCTTCTCATTTCCCACTTTTCGTCTTTTTCATCTCTTAATAGATGTCTGGCAGTAAGAATTCGTTTTAATACGCCTGTGGGAGTACCACCCCTACATTCATCGACTTCGTGACGGGTTGTAATGTTGGCTTGTACCCGGTCACGAAGGAGAGCTTCAAAATTCTCTGCCTCGATATGAGTATCGAAACCCGTTATTGCTAGCACAGGTCTCCATTTACCGCCCAAGTAACCTGCTTCGTTACAACCATATGCTTCATGATTATGTTGGGCGAGCCGATGCTGAGTTTGGGCACAGAGATAGTAAATGTTAGAATGATGATGATAGATGATAAGTGAAACATAGGAAGAAGTTACATTGGGTACACGATACGCTCAGATTTCCTGTGACTCCGATATGTGCTTTGCTCTTTAAGACTTTTTGAAGTATGTAGACACCGCTTATTATCTTTGGATTGTTACCCATTCGATTTTGTATCAAACCATTTTTTCAACATGTCGATCGTATGCATTGTACTTGAGCAAAATAACTCGTTAGTGTAACATACCAAGATATAAGTCAATATCACATGGAATCATTTGTACATGACAGCACAGCGATACATTTCTTGTTAAACTAGCTTTTGCGTGTAATCGTAGCTTGGAAATAAACCACAAACTTCAGTTTCGAATGTAGATAATAACCAAAACTTTAATCAGAACAATAGTGCAAACACTGCTACGACGGCATCAGGGATTCTAGCACGTCCTCACTCATCACGTAACTCGAGCAGAACCTAAGCGTCAAGACATTCTCTGTATTTTGGAGATTGTTTCGATTACTGCGCGTGGGCCAACAAATCGGGTTTTTGGCAATCTTTCTATTGTTATTATCGGCATATTATCACATGATGGCAACCTGATTTAGCTATCTTCGAACGGAACGCGGTTTCTCCTACTAATAACTTAACCAAACTGACAGTTAGTGACCTGTGTTAGGCTTTCTCGCTGACGGCTCACAATGCCGGATCGCGACACTAATCCTGGATAACTGTCTCAACACTATAAAAAATTTTCTCTTGTTACCTTTTCTCATTAATTTAAGGTGTAAGGTTATGTATGAGGTGATGGATATGGAGGTCTCTAAAATGGCTATGGCAGTCGATAGATAATGCGAGGGAATAAAGTGATAGCTTATCAGTTTCGAAAACAGTAAAAGTAATTACTAATACATAGGGGTAAATATACTAATATGCCTTCTCTGGATTCTATTTAACCTCGAGTCAAACAACAATTATGATTCGCTAGGGATTATTAAAGAAAATCTATCGACAGGAAAGTTATAAATAGTAATGTGTTAAACATGCAATTATATAGAAATCCTGATGCCTAGGTTCCGATAAGTTCAATGGGCAAGATCAAACTTATTAACCGCTGATTGAGAAAGCGATTTATCACTTAACCAGCGATCTATGGGGAATATAAATCAGGAAGCTAACCAATAAATTATATTTCAACACTTCATTTATTAGAATATAAAGAGCTATCCTAAAAGGATAATTATAATAATGATTCGAACTAAAGATGGACTGAAGATGCTGTTCAGAGCGGAAAACTACAACTGCTTATATATCTTCTATTGTTTCACTATTTTGACACCATATTTCGATATATAGGGAGCGATCAGCTGCACAGTAATTGACATGTCTATGTTAGCACATTTTTGACACTGCTATGTTACATTGACATTGTCTGCATATAATAAATTCCCGCCATTAAATTGCGTATCGAATTCAAAATACCAACTGGTATAAAATTGTTAGGTAATTATTACGAAGAAATATATTTTTTTAATTTGAACATTTTCTTAAGGTAATACAATAAAAGTTTCGAATACCCTTTTATAAAATGGACAAGAAATTGTTGCTTCTGAGCTCGGTAATAGCGCCGCCTTCTACCACCGCGGGCATAATAACGAGAGTGTAGCCGAATATAATTACAAATTACGTGATAATTCCGTACATCCAAGAAAATTTCTCGGTACCGATAGCGAGGATGGTATAGAATCGATACTCAGAGATCGTCAGGAACATTCATTACTATTACATGAATATATTGATAGAGACGCCCATTTATAGATTTTGATCTGCCGCAAGAAACACTAAATAGTATCGAACCCAAACTTAGGTACTTAATAGATATAATGAGACCTGCAGATGTAAAAGGCCTTTGTATTAATTATTACAACCGAATGGCGCAAACTGGTACAACTCTAAAATTCTTGGGACTGCTAAAAACAAAAATAATGAACCTCGACCATTTCTATCTATGGAAAAAAAATCCGGTACGGGTTCGAGAATTACTTATCTGGATCCAAAAGACTATACAAAAAGATTTTCATTCTTGTTAAAGGGAAAAGATTATAACGTAAACGTTTATCCTATTAATAACTTCTTAGCACCTATGGTATTAGCTCATGTCACTTACGGAAAATAGAAGCCGATTATGCTTCCAGAGTGCATGGAGGTAAGAATGATTCCCGTCGCCGACATTTGAGACAACTGGTATGTAGACACATATAGGACACGCTTCATCAGTCGAACATTATGGTGTAATAATAATAAACCGGATGCTGTAGCAGAAGTAGCTGAAGTCATTAGTACTAATCCTCCGGTCATGCTTCTTTGCTTTTACCGCATGGACTTTATTTACGCCCTCTTCATCACTAGACGGTTTGCGAAGCAAGGACACTTACGTGTCCTCAGCGCCAGACCCGGACTTAGACGAGGATGAGGAACTACTAAGATCGATTTTTTTTTCTACGCATTTTGCAACGTCCTCTGGGAGGCAACGTAGTCGCTTTGCGAAGCAAATAACTGGATTTGATATCGCGTTATAATTTCTCGACAAAGTTCAGGTTCCACTATCTTTGGTAATTGGCGGAGAGAAACATGAAGTCTTTCATCTAACATTAGTATTAGTAATCTAAGAGTGGATTATATGCTCTACCAGTAGAATTATGTGCAAGTGTGTTGCCATTCCGAGATGAGTCAGAGACTCGAGCATTGCCTCTTCGTGGTTGTTCGATGTGTCAAAGGTACGATCATTATTCCGAATTTTTTATGGGATAACTGATTTGATTCAATGTTGTTATTATTTTTGGCATTGTATATTTTAAATTATTGTGTATTTATATGTAGTAGTAGTAAAAAAATCAATTCGATTGAAATACTTCCAGCACCAATTGTTCGTCGGTTAATTTTTGCTGTGGTACCACTCAGACATTTAATAAGCGGAAATGGCTGAAATCATTGATTTATATAATACTTTCTAACTGCGCTTCGCTCCACTCGCAACACATATATTACGTCGAAAAATATGTGCTAGGGCCTGTATCACTATAGACGACACAAAGATAAAAAATTAGATTTTACGCGGAAAGGTAATATGTTTAAGGTCAAATGTTTATTTATTTATTGCATCTTTCTTTGCGATTGAGTTTATAATTAGAATAAAAACATATTGAACAAACTTGTTCTCGATGCAACCATTATATTATTGCTTAGCCAATAGTGATTGCTGAATGCTTTTAAAATACATTACGGTGATTTCTAATGTTAAAAACACCTCTTCTAGTAGCATTTATCTCAAAAACGCGATTCCGAGTATCAGTAATACTCTGATGAGGCAACAGCAAGTATCCCAAACTGGGTTGCACGATGGATTTGAATCGGTTGGCAACCATCAAACGCTTGAATAACTGATCAAGATATTGTTACATTATTGACATACCAAGCGAGAGATTGTCTACTTCCCGGTAGAGCACGAACACACCAGTTATTAATGTCAACATGATATCTATCTTCCATTCCAAACTCAACATCAGCCATTGCAAGTCTGTTCCAGTCCTTTGAAATTCTGCCACCAAGCTGGAAATCCGCGATTTCGATGATATTGTGCCAACTTGGATTCAAAGTCAGGAATAAGTCACATGCTGTTTAGGAATATTTCGGGTTCTAATCCCCATTCGATCACTTGATCGATATCATCATCTTCAAGGTCTTCATCCACGTTGTTATTGTTCTTTCTAGCAGTCTTATACCATTGAACGATACGTTTTTGGGTCCCTGGACTAAACCTTTTTAAGGAGTCTGGTATTTTTTCGCTGAAAAAACCAAAACTTTGTTAACTTTGAGACATGTGTAAACGAAAACAAAGGACGTTATACCTAAACAGTAGCCAGTGCCCAAATAAAGCGACTAAAATGGTTAAAATGACAATGTTAGTATATATGTTTACACTGGAAGTATGTCTTGGAAAGATTTTATGAAACAACGTGTGTAGAACTAGAAGTTAACGTTGAAAAGAGACCTGCATATCAGTATACAGTTGACACTGTTTATACCGAACTGCCCGGCTGAAGAGTTTTCACCAGAGTTTGCTATTACCAGAGATTTGTTATATCCAGAGTTATTAATTATAAAAATCGGTTCTGGCAATTTTGTCCAGAGTTCGGTATAACTGCCATAAAAACGCAAGCAATAGATGTATTATGATTTGAAAGATATAGCTTTATCAATATATTAAAATCGATTATTGATATCGATCATTAGTGATGCTATTCACATTCTTTCTGTTTGTTGAAGCCAACAATTCAAGAGCCGACAGACCATATTCTGGCATTTGTATTAGGCACTCACAGGCCAGTTTCAGAAGCCCCAGCAACCTAGTTTGTTGGCTTTTTCCCTTATGAATATAAACGAGAAAAAATATTGAAGCGCCTTATCATTATGTAGAAAGGTCCATCGATAGCGAAAGGGTTTTTGCTCATAATTCGGTGTCCTACATCCAATTATCAATTCTGTCGCGTCCAGTCGATCACTTTGACACGCTACAGTAGTCATTTCATTACTTACCCTGCAGTGTGCCATCGACAGGATCTAGAGTAATCGAAGGACAGCGTATAACTGAACTCTATAGATGTAGAGTAGCGAAGTGGTACGTGTATATCGCGTATTTTCTGCAGAATATCGTATCCGTAGCGTACAGCTTGCAGAGTGTCAAATAGTCTGTAGAGGAGTGCCCGCTGTGTACAGAAGTGACTTGTCTTAAGCAAGTCTAGAATGGATACCTCTAGCTAGAAAGCAGACAAAGTTTTACAGAGACGATTATACACCTGTAGACTGTCGAATTAATCCCATCGGTAGAGAACAGAGGATTAGAGGAAAGGTCCGGGAAAAAGGCTTTTAAATGGATGTTGGCGAAACCATTCAGGAACAAATCAATAGGTTGTTTACTATTACACACTTCATGTCACTATAGAGATAACCCAAAAATAGTACTATTTTTGTCTCGACTTTGTTAGCTAAGTTGGGAGTAGTGGTACTGTAGTTGGACTTAACAATACCGACTATTTGTAAGATGTGTTCAATTAGTTAGATTATACTAATCCGTATTTTCCATTCAATCGCCTTTGATATGTTTAATGTATCTTTTGTTCATTATTATTATGTTATTAAAAATTGTGTATTAGCATAATAATAGCCAAACTCCATAGTTTCATCGTGTGATAAATCGCGTATGTTAAAACATGTTAGTTGACGAATTATTGTAATTAGATACTAATTAGATAGTTTTTCTCATCTTTTATTTACTATCCTGCTCATCGACAAAGGCAAGGGTCCAACAGTGGCTTATCTATTTGATTAGCGCCAAGGAATTAACCCTGCCTATAGTCCCCATTTCCTATAGTTATCATTTTGTTTCTTAAAGTTTCATATGTACAAATATAGTGTGACAGATAAAAGCTACTGTTCTTTACTTTCAGATTACTTAAACGGAGATTGTTGCATATCTCAAATAACCTTGAGTGCACCTAATATTATTATTGGCACTTTTATATTCACGACATTGCATGTCAAAAAAGAATTCTAAATTCGGTCAAGTTGAACGAAATTGAATCGATGCAGAGAGATGTGGGTCTTTGTGAATTTTAGATCAAGGTTTATGCAACATACCCCTTTGAATGCGGGCAACTGTGTTCGAACAGTATTACTATTTAGCATCGGATCTGTTTTTTCTGTATAATAACTTTTTCTTGTCGTTCTAGTAGCTGCACTACGGTGCGCTGATATAGGTAGATTACATGGGTTTGCTATGGACATTTGTCTTTGCATATATTGGAATACTATAATCGACACACAATATAACGTGATCTGTGTGCTATTAATAATGATCTTATCATCAGCATCACAATAATAATCATCTCCCACAATAACTAACTATCAGTACCATCACCATCATCGTCACAAGCACTGTCGCCTTCATCACAAACATTATCGCCATCTATCCTCATCATCACCATTACCATCGTTCTCATTCCAAATTCTGCTCATTGTATACTGGTCATATACAATATGATTGGTTGACAATGTCGGAAAATGTAATTACCGCAACGTGATTGGTGAAAAGGGATTCCTTTGATTATTAATGATTAAGTTGGATTATGGATAATTCTGGCACTCTATTGTAGATCTTAGATGCAGCGGCTGTTTGTCTTTAATTCTGTGTAAGAACTCCCAATGTGCTCAAATTCCAAATATGTTTCCATTTATAATATGGTCGCTAATATTTTACTCGGGAATAGCACGTGCATTGGAAACATCAGCTCACTTTACTAAAAAAATTTTATTTCTCCGTTTCAAATCTATTGTAAACGTATAAATGGTTGCGACTATATAAAAATTGTAATAGAACCAATGTAAATATATAGGATCTCTCCTCGTAGTCTATTATCAGTTTTTTGTCTTTCCCTTGAGCACAAGGCTTCTCTCTTGGGATGGTCAACTCCTTATGGAAACTCACCATTTTTTGCCTCATATAGATTGTACTCCTACATTAAAAAAAAAAGTCAAAAACGTGTGAAATTGAATACAGTATATCGTATATATTATATTATATATATATATAATGCACCTTCATTCCACACCCACCCGCGCAAACAACATACTCTTTCTCAGCACGTGCTTAGAACATCAAACTCGCTCACCTACTCCTTCACTTTTCGGTTTACAGTTCAGATCCTTCTCTACCATAAAACGATTGATATTATCACACTCTGCACAAACTCCAGTCTCATCTTTCCACCTAGCAAACAAATTATCATCCTTGAAAGCCATATGGAATAGCTCAACACAACCAAATACCTTTATCTGATATCGTTACCAAGCCTACTTTTTACCAAAATCCGCTCATTCCCGTTTTACCGTGCTGAATTAAGATCATTGTCATCACAGTCTCCGTCACATTCTCAAAACAACTCTATCTGATTGTATCCCCAAATGGTTAGACATCCTAAAAAGTTATTGGAACGCTTGTTTCCCATCGAGTCTAGTAACCTCGTCTTTTCGTCGCCGACTTCCCATTTCTCATATGCATCTGCTGCCAAGAACACGTATGCTAATGTCAAAGAAACGTCTGTAGACGACATATACAGAGACTTGCAAGTCGGAGGACAAATGTTATATTTACAGCTTCCCGACGATGTCAAAATCATTGTAGATAAACTAAGGAAAATACAAGAGGACAAGAGATCAGAGATATTCGATCAAAGACTATCGAATGGAGAATATCAGGTATGCACCAATTACGACTGAATAGCGGCGATCAATATGCAGGCTATTTTTGATTTTGTACCATCTTGATCCATAAACACGAAATGACAAATTAGGAAATGAAAAAAATTCTGTTCACTTATCCAACCATTAATCTATCTTTTTCCCCTTTATTTCTGCAGTCGCCTTTTATGGCATTAGAATCAGCGTTGATGTCTATCCTTACTCTAGTCCCAACCATCCTCTTATCGAATTTGCATGAGAATTTACGCGATAATACTGTGTTCGATTATGAAAACTCCTCACGAAGAAACTCTTACGGTCGTGTATCTCCATTTAGCCGTTCACAGATCAACTTGGGGCAAAATTCAGCTGCAAAAAGATATTCCGTTTCGAGTTTTTGCACATCGCATAGATTACCACGCAATAGTGATGACGATGACAATGCATCCATTCGCTCTATAACTTCAATACAATCGACAACTGCTGAAAATGTGACATCCTCTTCGTTAGCAAAGATATTGGGCGCATCCTCATTGCTGACATCAGTTATTAGTGCCGTTATATCAATGCATAATGAGGACTTGGTCAGAGTAATAACAGATATAGCGGGATTCGACCAGTACTATAGTTTAACCGAACAAGTATCGGCAGAAGCAGAAGCTATACGGAATCAGATTAGAGCCGTCAAAGATAACGTCATGCATGCGAAGGCTGAAGATGCGTGTGGACAGGGTATTTACAGTGCCTTGGTGGCACACTCAAGTAGACTAGTCGATTCATTGGGTGTTCTCGCCGAATTTGTGGAAGGATGGGCCCCATTGATGTATGATGAAGGTAAGTAATGGCAGGCATTTTCGAACGTATATAGCTTTGGTATAAATTGCATGCTTTTTTCTAACAAAGAACGGGTTAAAATGACACTAGCAGATGGTATTACAGATTTGCGTTCAGTTGGCTGGTCGCACGGAACTAAGTCAAATCAAAAGTAAGTCTCGCCAATACAAGGGCAAAAAATTTTCGCCCTTATTCATTCATTAATGTATTATTATTAATTTATACTGATCTTATTATTGTTACTATTGTTTCTGTTTAACCAATAGGAAAAAAAGTTCTTGTAAGAATTGCAGTATTCCGAATTTGTACTACATTAATTAGAGATTAACGCAATTCATTGACCATTCCCCAAACAGTCAAGAAGAAAGTTGCCCGCACGTTTTCATCACTCAAACGAACTGCGGCATTAACCCATGTACTCATGCCAGATATGAACGGTATCACGGACAGCTTTGACAGTATCTCAAATAATCACCGGTACCCTACACATTGTCACACAGGTTACAATTGTGATTTTGATCGACGGGTGTGTAGCCATTGAAAATTTTTTTTTCAAGTATAACGTACACTATCACCATTATATGGTACTTGATGGCTCATTACAACTTTCTCTTACTACTCTCCAGCGGACTAAAAGCATCGCATCTGTAGCATCGACTGCATCGACTGCGTCGACTGCGTCAATCGCCTCTGTATATACACTTCCCACGCCATTACACAAACCACACAAAATTTCTTTCAGTGACACGTCACGTCTTCACCGCCACATTATTCCCCCACGTATCCACATTCCCCCGACCCAACCTGGTTTGGCATCACGCCATTCCGTTCACCCGTACACCGAGACAATTGAATGTGATAGTCCCTCAACAATATCGGCCTGGCACAGTATTCCGAGTACTCCAGCAACGCCAAATACGCCACGGTCGTCGAGGTTTAAAGAACACTTTGATGCATTACCAACAGTAATGCCTCCATCGTTAATTGGTAAGGAATATTTTCAATTGCAGCGGAATAAGTCGGGTGTTTGGTGAAACAAACACAAGTTACATAATATTATTATCTCGAATTTCAGGACGACGTCGCCGCATGTCAGAGACGGCGGACGTAGGACATCCAAAATCTCTATATTTGCACGATAATCGAAGTGCCAAGTCCATCATGTCTTATTTAGAACCGAGTCGATCAGATGTACATCTCGTAAAGGAAAAGGGTTCATTTCCTCCGCTCAACTCTCCGAAGACTGGTTTCAAGAGTTACTTGATGAAACGCGTAGTTAGAAAGAAGAGCGAGGAAGAAAGAGCAAATAGTTACTGGCCGGTAAATGAGAGTGGTTCGATGCCGAGCTTGCCGACAGGAAGGAAAATGCCCGGTGGTTTTTATGCATCGCAGAAAATGCAGAGGATATGTAGCGATGGAGATCTAAGATTGCTGCGGAGGCAGTGGGGAGGAGAGAGTAATAGCAGCCGAGAATCGGTCGGAGGACATTTAAACGGGGTTAACGGAGATTCCGAAGATTCGGGAGGTCTGAGGGAACATTTATTCCATAGGATTGTGAAGAAGAAAAGGTATGTGTGACATTTAGTAGGGGAGTATGTATGCCGGGTAATGTGGTACAATCGTAAAATAGAATAAACGTAACAGCCTGTGCATGTAAATTTACTGACGTTTTTTGTTATTATTCGATAATTCCAGTTCTCAGACTAGTTTATCGGCAGCAGTAAAAAATCATGACATGCCTAAATCGATGCAGTACTCGTCTTACGACAACTTGTCAGAACGAGGTGCAGCAGAGTACAAACGAGCGTACGAAGAAAAACTTGCAGAAGCGACAAGGAGAAAACTCTTTATCGTAGATGATGAGCCTGAGCAAGCCATTGACTCGAGGTAAGGCTTAAACTTGGGTATTACAGTAGTGGGTAGAGTATTGCGATTAATGGTTTCTATGCTCGTTGTTAGTGGCCAGCAAATTTGTTTTCATGTGAAAGGGGATGAGTTTATTTATTAACATGTGCGTTGTGTTCCTCATTACAGACGACATATTCAGGCCGAGACAATTGAGAACCTCTTAGAACATCTAATCTACGTAAATGATCCGGGTACTGTGCCATTTTCCTTAATAGTCTTAAAATTCATTTTATTGACACTTATTAACTATATTTCTAACTCAAAAACGTTCATTAAATAGACCCTGAGTTTGTTGACTGTTTTGTCTTATGCCACGCCTTTTTTGTGGGCTCACACACATTTTTAGAATTCCTAATTGTACGCTATTCTTCCCATGATGAATACGCACACGTGGGAATTTCTCAGGAAACAGTACAATCCAAGTATGTCTATTGAACACGCGTTTGTGATTCCCACCCCAAAGTTTATACCGATCTTCTTTTTTTTTCACCCCCTTTTCCCCTAGCATACTGAAAGTCCTTTACAGGTGGACTTTACTACAACACGAGAACTTTGTAGACAACGATCTTCACTCGACTTTGGACACGTTTATTGACTCACTGGTGAATGATAACGTGCTAAATGGAATTAGACACAATTTACAGCAAACGCAAGTGGCGCTTACACAGCAACCGTCGATACCAAATCTGCAGTCATCGATGATATCTGTCGTGGATAGATTATATCTATCAGAGACATCGCCGTTGCTCGACTTTGAGTCTAGGATTATTGCGAAATATCTGACACTGTTGGATTTTGCTGCATTCAAGAATATTACTTTGTACGAATATATTACGGGATGGTGGCGGAAGCGAAAAGGGTTCGATTCTGACGAAGAAGAAAAGGTTGAGAGTGGAATTGATGTCTTTACGAGGCGAGCTAACATGGTATGCTTGTAATTATACCAGACAGATCTATTATCAATGATATTGATTTTATCTTTTGTTTAACAGATGAGTCACTGGGTGGCCTACGAAATATGTAGTCTAAAGACAATTAAAGCACGAAGGACTTTACTCCACAAATTCATTGAAGCAGCACGGGTATATACGCTTACATTATACATTAGGTTTCTTCTTTTATATTCAAACGAACTGACGATTACGTTATTGTGATTCTTCTTCCAACAGCATTGCCGAGACTGGAATAATTTTCATACATCAATGTGCATAGTACTCGCTCTCAACTCCCGCCCTGTGCGCCGTCTGGAAAAGACTTGGCTTGCCCTGTCTAATAAGGACTTGCTGACATTGCAAAACATTGAAAAGTTGATGGATGTTTCTGGAAATATGAGGAATTATCGTAAGGCCTTGGCGCATGTTCGAGCACCAGCGGTTCCATTCTTCGGTAATACATATTCTGAAATAATATTAATGTTGTTTGATCATTCGTTGATGTGGAATCATCTTAACGCGTCCTATGTTATACGTTAATTATTATTATTACCAACGAACGATCAACACCGAACAAACGAAACATACAGCCGTATTCTTAAAAGACTTGACCGTAATCATAGAAGGCAACTCCACTTTCACACCTTCAACAACTGATGTTTCCAATTCATCAACTCAGCAATTAGTAAACTTTGAAAAGTTTCGCTTGCTCACTCGTAACGTCTTTAATATGAAGTCGTTTACCTCAGAAGCTTATCCATTTTCCCGTCAGCTCTCCCAATTGCCTTCAATCATTCCAACTTATGAATCATTTGTCTCGGAAGAGGGTAGAAAGGGAGCTTTGGACCATGTTGGGGAGATAATTGAGAAAAGAATATTAGTGGCTGCAGGAGATATGTTTGGCGGAAGTGTTGCGAGTATCGCAAAGAGTGATGGTGCCGAGTTGGAAGCAGAGTTGATGACGTTATCACTGAAGGCCGAACCAAATGTGTGCGATTAAAGAGGGTTATTTGGAGTGTGGTTGAGGCAAAGGGCAAAACGATGTTGGCTTTTGGGTGTAATAATATTGAGTGTTCATAGGAAAGGTAAAATACTATGTATGTGTAAAAAACTATCGGGTAATTTGTTTGAATAATTGTGCGATGACCCGACTTTGCTTAGGTTATATTTAGTAATATCAATTTGTAATAGACTAATGGAATGCGGACAGTAATTCCAATGATCTCCTTGTTCGTAAGTATTTGTAAATAAAAAAACCATTCATAACAGTTAGCGTTCTTTACAGAAAGTGGGAAAGGTCCTCGAATGGAACGTTACGGTGAAACTACGCACGATCTATAGATCGTCATGAACAAGAATTTCGCTTTAATCATTTTAATAATCAGCGGCCTTTGGTCATCAAATAAAATGTTGACGCTTTAAACAATGTTGAAGACTCATAACAACCGATTCTACGTGGGTTATTGAAAATAGATAAATAAAAACACGCGTTCAAAATCTATCATAAGCATGCAAATCGTGTTAACTGCGTGACATTTTCGATTGGAAGACCAGTTTTAATACAGTATTAGTATACCATTTTCTATATTTAAACCTTATTTTATAGTAAACATTTCTCATTTCTTACGGAATCTGTATGCATATTTCCCTTGTCCACGCCTTGACTATTTGTAACAACGTTCACCAGTATGATGTCCGCGAAATAGTTCTTGAAACTAGCCTGGTATAATATCGGTTAGATTTATAAACATCTCAAAACCTTAAATTTTGTAAATAAAAACTACAACCCAACTTTAATCAAACTTTATATTAATAAAGTGTCTTATCGGGTAATGTTAACCCCTTATTAGAGGCTCTCATATGAAAAACATGATGCTTTGAACCAATTGACAAAGTTTGTATAGTAAATTAACCCTAACTCATTTCATCACGGCTGAAAAGTGTCGACGTTTTGATTCTATGTAGACAGCCTAATGAGAATGAACGTAGCTGTATATCATCGGCTCCTCTTATTTGCTGCGGTTTGACTTGCAACTTTGACAGTCATGATAGAAGCTGTTTGTTAAATCGGCATCATAAATGCCTTGAGTTTACCATCTTTTTTTTCCTACGCAGCTTGTAGTCTAGACCGAATCAAAAGTTTATCTTACATTAATGGCTCGGAAATTCATCAAACCAATTTTAGGTTTATTAATTATTATCTAATAAACTTCTCTTATTTGAACGGATAGAATGTATATTCTTTCGGGTCGGGTGAATGGTTCCTGTCTTAGTATTACATTTGCAACAATTTTATTGATGCGAACGATTAGGCACGCAATACAATATTATACTCAAGTCCTTGTAATAAGTTACAAAAATCTTAATAATATTATTATATTGAGCTAAAAATCGATATTCCGTTAATTTTGTAAATTATAGCTACATAGTCAACCTCGGTAAGTCGGACACTGGATTTGGCTTGAATTTTTCGCCCAAGTCGGAAGTCGGACACACATATAAATCGAATCACGTGATTTTTGAGAGACAATCTTTACCGTTTTATTCGTCATTTTGAGGAAGCAACAGTTGTTTTGGATGGTGTGCAAACAAATGACAATTGTTTAAACTGTCCTGGCTTTACAATGGGCAAACCAACAGATGTGTATAATTGAAAGCAGCAGATTTTATTACTATGAATTAATATGATATCGTTCACCCTTCTTTCAATAACCTCTCTACAACATTGTTTCATTGAATTACCAAACTGATTAGAAGGCTATCGGGACATTATTCCACTCTTCAACCAGAAACTTCTCTAATTCACTGAGATTTTTAGATTTACGTTTTTCCACATTTCTCTTGACAACTGCCCAGAGGTTTTAAATCTGGACTGTTAGAGGGCCGGTCCATAACTAGGAACATTTTTCTGAAGAAATTCCTTAGCAATGCGACTAGTATGTTTAGGATTGTTCGCCATTTGCCTTTCAGTATGCTCCTTACCTCTGGTAGATGCATTTCTAATATCGACGTGCAATATTTTGCATCCATTATTTGTCTAAAACAAAATAAAGATGTCTTGCATTTTACGCAAAATTCACCACATGCGAAGATTTTGCGTCGGTCCTTCTACTTCGGCATTGACCAAATTGGTCTCGCACCCTTATATCATTGTTTTATTGTGTTGCGAAACAGTTGGAAAGAAGTCTCATCACTAAATAGGGTCTTATTCCAATTGTCATCTATATGCTTTTTGGCCCATTCAATACACTTTTGCTTGTGAACATAGGAGTATTAAGAGGGAGTGCATTTCGATATCCAGCCAAATGCCTCGTTACTGTTGAGCGTGAGACTTCTATTCCGCAATCTCTTCTGCAGAAATTTAGGATTTCTTCGAATATATTGGCCGACTGTTCGAGAAGCATCACAGCTGTTATTTCTTTTATGGCGACCATATTTCATTCCCCTTTATGTTTTATATCGCCAGCTTTTTGGGATTACGATATATAGTTTTGAGTGGAATCTTCGTCAGAGAGTGAATTTCGGAAACATTGCGCGTTCCCTGCTTCCAGAATTGTAATATTATTTGGCGTTGGTCTTTTTGCTTAGATAGAGCCATTTTACGACGAGATAAAACAAGAAGAGCAATTGAAGTTATAAAGCGCGTAAAATGATAACACAACAATCAAGTTTTTGTTTTATTTTACATGACGCGATTGATCTAAAATTGGGAAAGTTACATATACGCAAACTGCGGTGTCATTTTTTTGCACACCACTGTATGTTAAACGGGTCCAAATTCGTTCTTTCCACTCTCCAGGAGTTTCGCCAGTACAAACATGTGGCATTTTGCAATATTCGGTCCATGCAACCTCGGTGCATTTAGAACCGCGTAATTCTGAATAGTAACCATTTTATACTCTATTTGTGTTACACTGTAAATGTATTTGATAAGCGTATTTCGTATTTCTAGACCTATTATTTATCAACATATACTTTATGAATATGCGATTCAATTTTTAGTTTTAATTCGTATAAGTAAAAAATTCCGTGACACAAAGGGGGATTCTATACCAGGCATATAAACTTTATTGTAATACATCATCGTTCAGTTGTTCGACGATTCAAGGAATATATTCTAGATAAATCTTGCCAAAACAATGAATGCGGACTTAAAATACGACGCGAAGAAGAGGATATGCCGAAAATAAGGCCTAACGAGGGAGTTACCGGAAGATCTTTGAAGGAAATTTTTTTAAAATTTTAGACTTGCCATTTAAATACGTCAAATAAGAGATTACAAGGCCACTCAAACAAAATAACTTGGTTTCATACCTGTTGACTATCATTTTAAGAATTTTTAATTTTATAGTTGTGGACATTAAAAAATTTATTAAAGGCTTTCATTCAGCACGACATTACAATTAGACCGCAACAGTAAATTTTAATAGAAATGCGTGGTTCACAAACTATATTAAACATTACAGTGTTGGCAACTGGGCCACTAAACTTAAGATAAAAATTATGGAACTATAAATTGGCTAACACTGAATAAATGACTGCTATTTGCATAACTTACAAACTTGTTGATAACATATGCAAGTGAGTTGTCTTGAATCAGTCACTCTTTAATACCTTCAAAAACATGTTGAGTATAGCGCAAAACGTTCTTCGACATATTCGATAGCATAATCATATTATCCAAATAACTAACGTTTTTGTGCATACAGTAACGTGCAAAAGTATCCTACCGGTTGTATCATCTAAACGTACATAATAATAACTCCTTAAATTTTCCAG